TCTTGCTCCTAGTAGCGATGCCCTTTGCTCCTAGTAGCGTTCTTGCTACTGCAAACATGTTTGTTGGTTGAGGCTTACAACATCCGTTTTGTGACTCTTAGTGGCCATGCCTTCGTCAAAAACCTCACCTGAAAACCCACGCCTCTCTCCAGGCCATGGCCACAAAGCACTTCGGTTGCACCGCGAAGGCCCAGGTCTCCGGCATCCTCTCGGCCTCGGGGTCTCCACTCCGCAGCGCGAGGCGGCCGCGCACGAAGTGCTCGGTCCAATTGGCGGAACGGCGCAGGTTCACGGACTTGGCCTGCCCCGAGATTGAAATCGGGGAGCCTGGAGCCCCCAAAAAAGAAGAAAGAAATGAATACAAGAATCAACAACCACCACTGCTAGTTATATTGGAGACAAACTTTGTGGAGCACCACTCAGTACAGGTGGTAAAGGGACTTTGAACATCTCCAGTTCACACATGCACCTGCCTATCCTATGGCATCCAATCATCCAAAGTCATCACACATCTTCTGTCAAAAGCCGCAACTCATCGTGTCATCGCACATATTTGAATCAAATCTGAAGCCTCCAATTGCTCAAAGTCCAAATCGAAGCCCTCCAAACACTCTTCGCCGCGGTTGTCACGTCCGATCCAAGTGTTCACTGGCTGGGTCAAAGCCACCGTGGCATCCAGCCAAAGGCCACCGTGCTGTGCCAAGACCTGAAATGCGATTTCGCCGAACCCCCATTCCTTAGCAAATGTTCCCGCCCTAGATTTCCTAGCTTAATATACTGTAGCTTAACTGGCTGTGGCAGAACCCAAGACATGTTATACATTGTTATACCATGGTTGCACCTCCATGTTTTCAAGCACTGTAAAGGCACCTCTTTCAAACGCTGTGTGGGTCCGCACCTCCACCCTCACGAGGTCGCTGAAGTGTGTGGCTCCCAGGCGCCGCATGGCCAGCGCCGCGGGCGAGGCGACGAAGTCCAAGGCCTCGTCGTCCAAGGCCTCGCGCAGCGTCGAAGGCGTCAAGACCTGGCGACGGCGGTGAAGGCGTCGGGACGTCAAGTTGCAAGACCTTTGGGTCTTCGGAGTCAAGTTGCAAGAAGCTACTAGGGTGGAGGCCATCGCTACTAGGTAACAAGAAGCTACTAGTAGTAATGCCCTTGTTACTAGCAGTAAAAACGGAAGACGAATGGTCTGGAACAAAGCGAAGAAAATGAGGAGAACGTGTCACGAATGACCAATTCGTGGCTTAATGACACAAAAACTGGTCTGTTCCATCTGAAGAGAGTCCAACAATAAATCGAACAAATCACAAATCCAAATGACTCAGCGATTTGCTGGATAGTCTAACGAACCTCTCAAGTGCCATCTGTACCGATACTCCGGTCCAGTTCCCTCACCTGAATTTGCCACTCAGGATTCTGCTTGCGCCAGGTGTCAATGGACCGCTGGACCGAAGGAGGCCACGGCGGGGTCTCCCAAAAGGTGAAGATCTTTTGAGGGATGGCAGCTGGCGCAGCCGCTGGCGCAGCCACAACCCCTGCACCATCGAGAAATCCCCCCAACGACAGCCACAAGGCTAGCGCCATAGCAACGAGCGCACAAGGCGGGCGGGTGGAAGGCTTGGAAGGCGGCAAGGAGTTAACGTCATACAAGAATGATCAGAACAGAACGAACCATCGGAGCTTTGGTGGTAATTTCTTCTTTGTGGGAGGGTTGACTTAAATTAGGCCTTCCCTTGAGTGAACCATCTAGATTAGTCCAGATCGTAAATCCTGCAAGTCAACTGATTCGATGCTGCACCGACTTTCGAAACGAATTGTCCCACAGCAATCGTCCGGAAAATGGACACGCCCAAGCTGCTCTGGCGAGTGAGTTCCCTCGATGTTGAGGAAAGCCGCCGTTTTGTCGGTGATCCAAAAGGCAATGTTGGTCAACAAGTCCACCAACACCGTGTCTTCCACTCTTCCCCAAAGCAAAGCCACCGGTCACATCTAGTCACTAGTGTTTCTGATTTTACTAGGAGCAAGAAGGCTACTAGTAACAAAGGGCATCGCTACTAGGAGCAAGAACGCTACTAGTAGCTCCTGGCCTTACTACTAGGAACAAGAAGCTACTAGTCTTTTTGACACGTTCTGTTCTCCCACAAACACAGCGAAAAGTGGCCCAGGCGAGCCTCTTGCTTTTCTTGATCACGTTCTGTGCACGGTCTTCCAGCATTTTCACCTGGCTCACTCGGACTCCACACAACCGAGGTCGCTTCTCGGTCTCTTGCTCCTGCTCTATGGTCGAAGAAAAAAGGTGAGACGTTTACCGTTCAAACCTTTCTACCTTTCTTCCTTGGTTTCTAGCGGCTTCCAACCTACTAGCGGCTGGTTTTTGTGCCAATCTCTCTCGTTCCCACGGTATTCAGTCGGTGTTCTGTTCCGTCACTCGACGCGGCACACGAACGCATGTCATGGCAGTGCTTCTCTGCAATTGTTGTGGGAAACGCTTGTCGCACATGAACGCCACAACTTTTGGATGAAACAACTCCTGCACGTGGAAACTTTCAAGGCTTATAAGAAACCCTTCTCAGAATCTCGGCTTTCTACCATTCAGCATGGACATCCGAACTTGGAGGAGATTGAAGGAATGGTGGGCTTCACCATGTTCTCCGCCCCCACCGCCCAAGGCCCATCCCCCGCCATGGCAGGGAAATCATTGACTTCCTCCAGGTCTTTTTCCTGCTTGGCACGGAACCGTGCATACCTCCCAGCTGCGGAATCAAGCAGGCATGGTTGGTAGGGGATGGGTCTAACATCACCAAAACCAGTGGATCATGGTCTCCACAGAGGGGTTCAGTCAACTTTCGGAACAATAGCTTTGACATCATGAGAATATGTGAGAATGCTGTTCCTGTTGTCGCGATCATTTTGATCATTTTGCTCGGCGCCTCAATCCGCGCCGGTCCACTGGACGGGCTGCCTGACAGGAAAGTGGGATCGGATGGGAGGCAAGAAAGGCCCAAAGGCACCGCCACCCCAAACGGGGCACCACAAACCAAACCAAGAAGTGAGAACTCTATCGAATCCAACAACCCGGCTTTGGCTGGTGACATCTGCTTCATGCTTTCGGCTGGCCCTGGAAGGGCTTCGTTTGAACCCCCAGTAGGATGAAACACATGTCGATTGACGGCCTTTGAGAATTCACCAAGCAGCCGCGAGCTAACTCAGGCACCAGCCTTTTTCACCACAGATCTCTCAATGTATCACAAATTACTCTTGGTTGCGTGCTAGCTGTCGGTCTCTGCCCATAAAGCCCGTGGACATGACCAAGCTAAGGGCAAGCCCAAGCAAATCATGCAATTCATCATACAAATCATCTGGGTCTCCACCGTCTCCGCCACTGGCGATCTCTGGCAACAACTTCTTCAACCACCTCTGAGGAAGAAGTTTTCATGAAGTGGCCCGGTGCGTGATGGCAAGTTTCGGCGTGGCAACTTCCAGGTGGTGCCCCCCCTCTGGTGGATCGGTGCCATCTTCGGCTCGTTCCATCGGAGGCGGCTGACGCTCTTCGCCAAGCGAGTCAGGTGGTATTTTCTCGCCAGCCTCAAGGCCTCACGTTCTGCATACTTCTTCTTGGCGAAGAGACCTCCAGTGATGTATTGGATGGATTGTCTCCGAAACTGAAACTGCTTCTTCAAAGAGAGGAGGATGGTCTTGCGCAGCGTGAACTGCACACGCCACGCCTTCTTCTCGGCGTCCCACTTCACCCCTGGCACTGTTGGACTCTCGGGTTTCAACACATGCTGCCTCACCAACTTGTCCCTGAACGCCCATGCTTTCTGCAGTGCTATGGCCTCCGCTTGCGCCGGATCCACCCCGGAGGGATGGATGAATCGCCGTCTCCGGGCCCTCGGACCTCGAGCATCACAGGTCTTCCAGTTCAACAGCCAGGAGTCGGCCGACCAAACCCGTCGCTCGGCATCGTGTTCTGCTTGTTCTCTCTTTCTCTTGGCATCACGTGGACGATCACGATGTGCGCTCGGAGGGGGCACTAGCAGCTTGGTCGGAGGCAGCGAGGCTGGCACTGGTGGCTGAAGGGTCGTCGCTGGAAGGTCCAGGGCTGTGGGCGCTGGAGGCAGGAGCTCGTCTGCACTGACGCGTGGGCGCGCTCTTGGAGGAGCAGCAAAGCCACGATCAAGCTGGTGGAGGGAGCAGTCCGTACACGCCCTGACGATAGGTTTCTCACGTGGAATGTCTTTGATAGATGTTAGATGTTGAAAGAATATGCATCCAAACATGTCTTTGAAGGGAAAATCGCAGAATGAATGCCAGATTTGGATGGCCAAAGCTGTACAAAAACCTTTTACAAACAGATTTTGTCTCAGGATTTCTGCCCCAGCTTCATCTCATCTCCAATCCCGCTTGGATCTCGTGTCGAGACCTTCCTCGGACGCCACCGGGCCCACAGAGCAAACAGCCCCCGCATGACTGATGCCAGGCAGGCTCTTTGATCACAAAGGTCAAGGCGGTAATTCTATGTAAATCTACTTACTTGAAGAAAAGGAATCTCCTCAGCCACAAAAGAAAAGAATCTAGGCATGACCCAGTGAGACAGTGGCCTGAAAGCCTAGAATGCACCATTCTTGCCTTTGACTGTAGTCTTTGCTCGAGCCATCTGCAGAGGCGCGTCCAAGTGTCCTTTGCCAGTCGAGCAAGATCAATCGGTGATTTGACAAGGTTGATGCAAAAGGGGCACGTGTTATTTTGGCGAAGTTCAGTCCCGAGAAGCTACGAACGGGGCTCCTGGCATCGCTGCGAACGGAGCAAGGACACTACAAACGGGGTTCCTGGCCGTACTAGGAGCAAGGGACGCTACTAACAACATCTTTAAGTTCAGTCCCCCCGACATTATGGAGTTCGCATCTTCCATTCGGAGAGCAAAAATGTGTGGCACTAGGAGGACGTACCGAAGGCGTCAAGCTGAATCGAGCGGACATGTTCACATGCACTACAAGGACATCGAGCGGACTTGTCCTGCACTGCTTGACATCTTTTCAGCCTTGTTCGACATGCAGGCAGGAAATTTATCCCATTTGGCACTCCAGTTGACTCTGAGGTGACCGCTTCGACCTAAAGAAACACACGACGCATCACAACGCCACCGCACCACGCGTTTCCCACCTCGGGCGGCATCTGATGCGCTTGCACCTAAGGGTGGCACAGCGTGGGTGTTCGGGCGAGTGTTGAACTCCACTTGCCTCTTGCGACAAAAACATGAGATCTTGCTTGGCTATGCAGACACGAGTGGATGCAACACCGCCAGCGGTCGACCGCTTCGCAGCCTGTTCTTTTTCCCAGACTAACGCGGCCTTTAATGCTTCGGGGCAGCTCCGGCACCTTGTGACCGAGCCACCTCCACCCGAAGAGCTTTCTGCCAGGGCGCGGTGCCGACCGCAGCTTTCGGCTTGGACTCCACCAGCGCACGTCGCAACTGCAGCAGGTGATGGAAGACTTGGCTCCGCTCGGACGTCCGCCGCTCGGACGGCGGAACACCCACGGCCGTTCCCTGCGTCGTGGGGCCGTGTCGCACGGCCGAAGAGGACGCAACGAGACATGCGTCGAAGACGTGTCGCCGTGGTCGACGTTCGTCGTTCGGTTCACCTCGGCGCATCCTGGGTGTGGCACTTTGTGCTCTCGCTTGCGCTCGGGCCGCTCGCTCGGCATGCGCTTTCTGCCACTGCTGGTTTCGCTGGTGGAAACGCTCGAAGGCGCTTTGGCCGCTGGCGTCTGGACGATCGCGAACACCACCTGAGCAACGTCTGATGGTTGGACCCCCTCAATTGACCTACTAGCGATGGCCTCCAACCTAAAAGCTTCTTAATCGAACATGTTTTTTCAACATATATATATTTCCACCAAACCAACACCGAACCAGGTCGCCCCATGCTCCGTCAAACGGTTTGGAGCCGTCGCCTTGGTTCTCTTCCAACTCTTGACACTGGCGCTGTCGCTGGCGTTCCTGGTCCCACTTCTCATGCAGCAGTTGCTGCCATTGCACCTGCCGATTGTAGAAGTCTTGCTGGACTCGAGGTGATCGCGGCTTCGACACCCCGAAAGGTTGGAACGTGCATTCTCGCTGCTCCTCACAAATGCAAAGACCACTGACTTTCAACTTTAAACGGGAGATTTAAAAATGAATGCTCAAATGGTCCAACACAAAACAAAAAAAGTTGGTCTTTTAGTGGCTCCTCTCTTCTTTTTTCTTCTCTGAGAGCGTAATGCCGCTCTTTCCTCCTCTCCATCCAAGCTTCACTGCGAGTGTGGACCTGGCTAGGTCCAAAGACCTTGTGAAACCCTCACTTGCTAAGGCCAGGAGCGCCCCTAGTAGCGTCCTTGCTCCTAGTAGGGATGCCCTTTGTTACTAGTAGCTTCTTGCTACGAGTTGACTCCCTATGACTCCCTTCCAAGAAGGGCACCCAGAAAGCGGTGTTATGCCTGGGAGGGCTGGGTTCCTGATTGCTCTCCAAGAAGCTGCAGATGTTTGCCACCAGCGGATCAAACAAAAGCTTGGTCTTTTTTGTTTCGTAAGTATCTATCTCAGGAAATGTTATGAGTAGGATTACCACTCGCTTAAAGCTTATTTGAAGAAGATTCAAAAGGTGTTCTGAAAACGCCGAATCTTTGGCTCAGAAAGACGCTGCCTGGATTGGGCCTGACCGTGATCTTTTCAAGCTCGGACTTTGGCATCTCGACCGACTTGGCGATGGAAGCTGAAGCTGCTGAAGCTGCTGGTTCAGCTTGGACAGTTTCTCTGTTCTCTCTTGTTCTCGCAGCAAAGACCTTTGGAAGGTGTTCAGCTCGCCTCTCAAAGTGTCAAAACTCCATGATGGCAAGGCTTCCAACCTCTTCACCGGCGACACCGACTTGCCTCGCTTCACGGCGACATCCGTCGAGAATGATGGAGCTTCACAGCGAGCTGCGCAGTGCGAGCTGCGCTCGTTGCGCTCGCTGCGCTCGGTGAGTGCCGGAGGAAGGGCTTTGGGACTTGAACTGTGCGAAGCCTCTGAGCTAAAGGAAATCGTATCCACCTCGAAAACGGAATGCACAGACGGAGTCATCTTTGGACATTCAAAGCTCTTGGCAAAGCTAAAAGCACTTTGGATGGGGCTGTCTGGCGGCGTCGGCCAATCTGAGTCTGAGGTCTCCCCGGTATTTCGTGGAATTGGTAAGTCCAACTCACTTTCAACCTCTGGAGATTCCATATGGATCTGCTCCTCAGATCCCAGTGTTTCAATCGCGGCTGCTTCCCCATCTGCATCTGTTTCCGATGTCTCACAGATACCGCCTTCCTTCACTTCCTTCACTTCCTTCACTTCCTTCACTTCCTTCACTTCCTCCTTCAGATCATCCATCCTCACCTGCTCCATACCGAGCACCGGCAGCACCGGCGCACCACGTGACGCCGGCAGCACCGCGTCCTCGGCCTCGAAGAGCGAGAGGCGAAACTCGATGTCCGCGGCCCAACTGCTTCGGCGCTTCGAGGTCTCTGCCTTCGAGGTCACTTCGCTATGTTCCAAGGACGCTATGCACGGTGGAGGGCTACTAGGGTGGAGGCCATTACTACTAACAAGAAGCTTGTTAGGTGTTTGAAAGTCCCACTTGGCGCTTCGGCACAAAATCGGTCACGAAAAAGAATACGGTCGTCTTGGAAGGAAAGAAAACTGTATTGAAAAGATACACCTGAGAAGGGAGGGGACGAAAGCCAGCTTCAGAAAATATATAAAATATTTGTCATAGGGTGAAGTCGCACCTACTTTTAGTGGCGTTGGCCACGGGAAAGTAGAAGGCAGAGAGGCACAAAGTTTCGCATTGAGGCTTGATATGATAGGGCCTACATACACAAGGCCTTGAGGAACCCCTATTTGTACAAAGGTCGAACTCAGTAGGACATTCACAGTGCTGGAGGGGTGCGCTTACTCTGGTTGTTTCCCCCAATCCTCAGCCACAGTCAAAGTTCTGACCACGGAGATTGTGCCTCTGGCTGGCCACTCCTCGTGGTCATACTTCCGAAAGGCGACCACAGCTTAAATGAGAAGAGAGTGGTCAGGCATGTGCAATACAACTTCCAACATCCAGGCAGGCTTGCCATTCTGGTGGGCATATTCGGGGGGCCTTTGCGAGTCCGGCTGACCAAGTGTTCGACAAAGCTGGAACTGAGACCTAGTGATGTCTTCAGCGCGACACGCCATGGTCGAGAGACGCTTCTTCGACGTGTTGTGTGGCATTGTGGACTGCGAAGGGGCATGGAGTTCACTTATTGGCCACGTCGAAGAACTGAAGGAGTCGATTCCTTTTCACTCCGGCAAGGGTGTAAAGTCCGATCCGATTCCGCGACTGCACAGGGCTCCATAGGATTCCAGAGTTCCACCATGCAAAGTAAACACCGTGTCTTTACATCTGCTTCTGTGGGGCATTCTTGTGGAGGGAACTTCCGTGCTGAGATCAATCACCCCCTTCGCTGCTTCTACCTTGACCTTGTTTGTCGCATTTCCTGTCACGACGCAGTCTCCCCTCTCTACCCGGACTTGCACACCTCATCAATAGACTATCCAAAATAGTCTCCTGAAGACTTTGTGATGCTAATCATGCTCTTTTCAGCGTCATTTGCATCACTCGCATCACCAGACCCCTAAAAACACTCGCTCTCCCTCGCCAGGTTCTGGGTTCACGGACCAGATTTGCAACCACCCCGCCTCACACCCCTATTACTCACTTCGTTCGCCCATCGAGGACTCTGTCGGCTGGCTTTCGTAACCTGTTCATGTTACATTATATTGTATTGTGTAATATTGTACTGTATGATTTGTCATTTCCATTCGGATGCCTTTTTGGTGTGTTGACATGATGGTATCTTCCCTTCTTCATCCTTATTCCACTTTGAAGGCTCGGAAGTGGAGCACATTCCACTCTCGAACGACAAGAAATCACCAAAGGACGCCTCCAAAGAGGTCGAGCAAATCTGCTTCAGCTCAGCTTCCACGTTGGCCAGTTGGACTTCCCGCAGGGGCGGACGAGAGTTCTCCCGACGCTCGGGTGATCGGGCATTTTCCTTCAGATTGCTCTCACCCGGCATGAATTGGTGCATGAATTAGACTCGAGTCCCAAATGGCCTTCCAAGTATCTTTTGGTGTCGCTTCGAAGTAGGTCGTGTCACAAGCTTTAAAAAGTTTCAAAGAACCCCTTCAGCGGCCGAAAGCAAACCAAGTGAACCAACCACTCTTGCAGCCCACCAAAAAGTTTTTTGTGACACCTGCTTAAATCATTAAATCACGCTCCGCCACACAAACCATGAGACTTAGTGTTTACAGTCGGAAAACAGGAATCGCCTGGGTCCGTAAGCAGTTCCTAGAGCAGAAAGGCTGGGTCGCACACCTCTTTGACACTTGCCTTGTCATTCGCTTCAATTGGCTCTGGACTGCCCACCTCAGATGGCGTGCGGACCTCGGAAATTGCCAGACACACAATCTGAGGCCAACCTGGCACGGCCACTTGATCAAAAAAGCCCACCTAAAAGTAACAGATTAAATAGTAACTGAGAAGCGTCAGGAATTCTTGCATTTCTACTACAGTACTCCCAGACTGGCTTCTGGCACTGCTTCTACTGAATCACAGAATCAAGTATGAACAGACTGGATAAGAAACTAGAAGCTTTCTGGATTCATGTTTTCAA